CCGGCCCCTGCGCCGCCCGCTGGGGGCTCGGGCGGCTCGGGCTCAGCTCGAGAAGGCTGGCTCTTCAAATGGACCAATTATATCAAAGGCTACCAGCGGCGGTGGTTCGTGCTGAGCAACGGGCTCCTGAGCTACTACAGGTAACTGCTTCCGGGGCGCAGCTTCCCACTTCGCCTCCCCCATCTCAGCCGATAGCCCCGGCCCCGCAGCCACGGTCGCCCCAGGCCCATTTTTGTCACTTGCGCGGATTGACAGCCGGCGACACTAGTCCACCATCAAGAAAGCCAAAGCCCCAGAACTTGCCCCTCTACCTGAGTTACCCCCACCCCCCACCCCGGGTTCTGTACCCTCCCCTCGTCCCTTAGCCTTTGGAGTCAACAGTAGTTTGGAAAGCATCTACTCTTGCATTGTGGTCCTGCCAGCACATCAGTGCACTTACTGGTTTTGCAAGGAGGGCACTGTTCTAGGTACTAAACGGCAGAGATAGGGCAAAACCCAGGCGCTGCTCCCAAGGAAGTTGCAGTGGAAGTTACACGACAAGTCTTAGCTGTCGTGCCCAGTCTCCCAAATTCAAGGTTATTGGTAGTTCTTGATGTACCCGCCTTTGCTCCCTCCATGTTTCAGGCACAAGGACACCATCAACAGTGTGGCCTGGGTATTCTGTTCCTTGTCTTTCTTATCTGTCCAAGACTTGCGTTTATGTTTTTGCCTTCGGGACAGCCCAGAATGGAGATGTGCACGCCAGTGTTGCTTTTCTTTTTGCTTGCTTCCCTTCCTCCCATGGGAATGATAAAGTGTTTTGTGTAACATTTCGGATCTCCCTGGTTAGTTAGGGATTTACGGTTATTTCTTGTCAGCTGTGTTTATTTGGAATGTTCATGATGACTCACAACCTGGCCTGTTGGTAGAATACAAGGTCCTTTTGGCTACTTATGATACTATAGATAGAGATTAAGTTATATGGGGACAGGACATAAACATTCCTGAGGGCTAGACAGTGTGCTTTGGTGTTTCACATACATTATTTCATTGACTCCCAACAACATCCCTAGGAGTTAGGAGATGGTCCCATCTTACTGCTTAGGAAACTGAGACTCAGCATAGGTAACTTTCCCAAGGCCCTGGTGGAGTCAGGATTTGAAACCAATTCTGTTCACACCAACATAATCCAAAACCCAAGTTAATATTACATGGATCATATACAGAGATAATTACTTATTTATGGCAAATGAGTTGATAGATCATGGTTACCATGTGCATTTTATACGAAAAGTGTAAAAGTCTCCTTTGAGGGAGACTGCTTAATATTATGGCATTTCTCATTGAAATCTTTTGTTTAGAAATTTGGAGCCCAAAACACTGATGTTAAAAGCAGCTCCTCTGGGTTTCTTTTTTTTCTTTTTCTCTTTTGCTAGTAGTTATGAGTTGGAATCGACGTGACGGCAGCGAATGGGTTTTGGAGCCCTGATGGCGGTAGTGGTTAAGTGTTGGGCTGCTAACCAAAAGGTCCGCAGTTCGAATCCACCAGTTCTACTCTGTCCTATAGGGTCGCTATGAGTCAAAATCGACTCCACAGCAATGGGTTTTGGATTTTTTAGTAGAGTTAGGAATGAACGAATTATTATTTTTTCTATCAATTCCATTTTACAGAATTTACAGGGGAGTTAGAAGGTGGGAGTTGGAGGTTATTGAAATAGGAACATATACCTGGCTTCTAACTGTGGAGAATGCCTTAGGTTAGCTTTCTGCTTAAATGACATTAATTGTGAACAGTTGTGTTTATCATTTGCATTATTGTATTCAGAATTGATTTTAATTATAATCCTTTCTACCTGCTCATCCAGGACTACCAGGTTAATGTTAGATCACAAATTGAAAATTTTAGTTTGCCCCAAAGCCCAGCTTTTTCCGCTATTCATGTTTTCCTGTTATCATTCACCATCATTCTAATGTTTACTTGATTCATATCCTGACTTGGCCCATAAGTCGATACTAGCACTGATGCCCCATTCTCAAAAGTTGTGTATCAGCTGAGGGCCTTAATGTGTGTGGTCATTTTTCCTGATCCAAGTTCTTATCCAGGCTAGTCGATTCTTCGATCAGTACCAGTCTTGATCAGTATTGATCTTGGACACTTACATATGTTGCTGTCTTTTCAAGTACTTGTAACTCCTTTTAACTTTGCTCTCAAAAGAGCAAGTGGTACCTGTCTGACTATAGATAAAACTTCCAAACCATACCAAACCACATATTGGGAAATATGCATAGGCCTATCTTTGCCAGCTAAGATGATACCACCCACAAACCAACCAAGCAGCAGGATCCAGAGTTATAAAATCTATGTGCTGCCCTCAGAATCACATTGAAGTACTACCTGCTAACTCTGTTGGTAGTTCATTCTTCCCAGAAGGGTTTTTCTGGTCCTTCATCTCCCTCTAGCATTATTTAGCCGTGTTGTCATCCTCCTGCTTTTTCATGCCTTGAAAACCTACAATCTCCTATGTATGCCTTTTTCAAAATGCTGCTTTTCTTTTAACTGAGATCACGTGCTTCCTAGACCCATCCTCAGAGAACTTTCCTAATATGTAGTCCTTGGCAAGCCACTTCCCTCTTTTTAATACTCCTGCTCTTTCTTACATATCCAGTTACACAGATGTCCCTTTACTTAAAATCTTATGTAGAATCCATGCTCTCCCATAACAGGCCCATAGTATTAATTTTCCTGGCCTGCTTCCAGAGATTGAATTACTGTTTTGGCTGGCCTTTTCAGGAAGAAGTTTCTAGTCAGAAGACACCACTGTTACGGATTGAATTATGTCCCCCCAAAATATGTGTTGTAAATCCTAACTTCTATGCCTGTAGTTATAATCCCATTTGGGAATGGGTTGTCTTTGTTAATGAGGCAGGATTAGTGTAGGATGTGTTTTAAGTCAATCTCTTTTGAGATACAAAGAGGTAGAGATGGGGGAAGAGAGATGCCAAGCCACATGAAGATCTCCCAGGAGCAGAAGCTCAGAAGAGACAAGGACCTTCCTCCAGAGCTGACAGAGTGAGAAAGCCTTCTCCTAGAGCTGGCACCCTGAATTCGGACTTCTAGCCTCCTAAACTGTGAGAAAATAAATTTCTGTTTGTTAAAGCCATCCACTTGTGGTATTT